CAGTCACTTGCTGTCACCTACTGGCGGTTTTAATTTCACATTTCAACTATTTATTTTTTCATGTTTTAAAATCATTTTAAATATCAGTATTCAACGTTTTATGTCAAAAGCAAAACATTATTTATGCATCTGTAACTGCAGGTTAAATGCATCCATGTCCCCTCTGAGATACATTAAACTGTGTAAATACATCTAAATGCCACTTCAGATGCAGATTCCAGAAATGTTTTCTTATGTTGGAATGAAAGACACTAAGTACCGGATGAAGTGCTTCTTATTCTTACCCAAAAATGCAAAATGGAAGAAAGAGTTCAAACTGAACACAATCTTGCTACTCAAGCTGTGTATGAACATTTTTTATATATATGTATTTGCTTCTTTTCCATTTTGCATTTCCGTGTGTACTTTTACTTTCAATACTTAAGTACGTTTAAGATTTTAAAAAATACTTTTCGTACTTAAGTACAATAAATATCACATACTTTAAGACTTTTACTCAAGTAATATTCTAAACAGTGACTTCAACTTCTACCAAAGTCATTTTCTGGTAAGATATCTGTACTTGTACTTGAGTATGGCTTTCAGGTACTTTATACACCACTGAGTATGTGTATGTATAAAGTACTTTATATGTGCTTTAACATGTTAGTCAACACACACAAATAAGTGTACTTCTTTCAAATTTGACAAAAGATTATTGTTGCAAAATGTAGAATAAATAATTGCTAATTCAAAACTGCATTGACGACCAACATCCAGTTCAGAAAACCTAAACTGCAATACCAACACTAAAGTAAAAACAGTGACTGAGTCACACATTTAAGCTATGCACTCAAAAGAAAGATAAAGGGATGTTGGGGAGTGATAAAAGGGAAGAGGGAGACGGGGAGCACAGACAGTGTGAGTGCATGAGCAAGACTTGCACTTTTTGTCCTAAGGCAGATGGCTTCTTGTCTCCTAACGAAAGAGGCGCAAAAGCGAAACACAAAAGAGAGACAATAAGACCTAGTCTCTTTTTAGAGACCACTGTATTGACAGAAGAGACCCCCGCAGCTGAGAAGACAGACAGAACTAGGGCACATAATGTGTGAAGAGTACAGAACCACATCCTATGTGAATGTGCTATATTCATTTAATACACTATTCAGTTCATTTAAAATACTGTCTGCACAGCAGGACATAAAAAAAAAAAAATGAAGGACAAAAATTGCATTTTGTCAAACCGGCCAAACAAAGAACTTATGTACAATACAAAGGCAGGAAAGTAAAAAAAACTGATAATTCCAATCCTTCATCTTAAAAGCTGCACTGCTGAAATATAATGTAAACAACAATGATAACTCACCAGAAAGCTCAGCGCTAATTCTAATAACTCTGATTCATCAGCAGTGAGTGGTTTTCGATGGAACTTGCCAGGCCAGCAGAACACTTAAGCGATTAGTGTTATTAGAGGACGAGAGGCATGTGAACTCTGAGCTGTGCAGGTGACCAGAAGGTAAGGTGAATGTTTCATTCAGATTAACACACAAGAAGACTGCCGTCATTGAAAGACACGCCCCATTTCTGGTCCCTAAATGTGATCGGCAAATGCTCAGACACACAGGTACTGTATATCAAGACAGTGACGTGAAAGTGATTTCAGGGTGTGCGAGGTCACTGTAAAATCTCAAAAGAGACCAAATTAACTTAATAATTTGACTTTTAGGTTGCTGCTGCTGCTGCTGATGACGTATCCATTGTAACGCATTAGCTAAACCTTCCAGGGTGAGTCAATTATCATGAAAAGCCTTAAATATACACTGCCTTTCAAAAGTTTGGGATCAGTAAGATTTGTTGTTTTTTACAGAAGTCTCTTCTGCTCACCACGGCTGCATTTATTTGATCAGAAATACAGAAAAAAAACAGTAATATTGTGAAATAGTACTGCAATTTAAAATAATGAGATTCTTTGATGAATACAACTTTAAAAAGAACAGCATTTATTCAAAATAGAAATCTTTTGTAACAATAAACATTTCGATGAAATAAAAAATGAATGCTTTTATTCAGAAAAGATGTGTTAAATTGATAAAAAGAGATAATAAAGACTTAAATTGTTAGAAAAGGTTTAACTTTATTCATCAGATAATCCTGAAAAAAGTATCACAGGTTCCATAAAATATATTAAGTTTCCAACATTGATAATAAATCAGCATATTAGAATGTTTTCTGAAGGATCATGTGACACTGAAGACTGGAGTAATGGCTGATGAAAATTCAGCATTACATCACAGAAATAAATCATATTTTAAAGTATATTAAAATAGAAAACCAGCATTTTAAATGGTAATAATATTTTACAATATTACAATTTTTTCTGTATTTTTGGTCAAATAAATGCAGCCTTGATGAGCAGAAAAGACTTCTTTAAAACACAATAAAAATCGTAATTATCCAAAACTTTTGAACAGCGGTGAAGATCTATAACAATTTACATCACTAAAACACAATGGAAGATCAACTTAAACAAAAACTACTAAACCTATTCAAAATTGTTTTTGTTAATTGAAAGAAATCTAAAATATCAATTTTAGATTTAACACTTTAAAAAATTACTGAAAATAAGGTGAAGTACTAAAATGACTAAAACTAAAATTAATAAAAATAAATCAAAGCTAAAAAAATTTTTTTTAAACTATACAAATCTTATTCAAAATATTCATAAATACTATAATAGTAAATAAATAATACTAAAATAACACTGATAAAGATGTTTATAGTGGGATGATTCTAGTAAGTGTGCAAGAATTGCAGCCACAATGTAACAAAGCAGCAATATATTACAGCCAATATTAAAATTATAACTGCACAGATATTATCATGAATCACAGCATTACAGTCAGAGAATACCGAAATGGCAGATTCACTGAGTTTGTGAATTTTAGTTTTGTCATTTTATCTTCATTGTGCCAAATGTTGCCTGGATTAGGCTGAGGGAAATGTTCCAGAACATTGTGTGTGCTGTGAGACCAGATCAAAGAATATGAAAACTTTGGTTCCCTTTCATGGGAACTTCGAACTGCGTCCTCTAGGGGTCGCTATGGGGAACGCCTTGTCGTGACCCGTGTCTGAAGCATACATTGAAAAAACACCAACTTGTTGGCCGGCGACAGCCATGACGTCACTACCGGTGCGACTATAGTATAAATATTATGTAACCATGGTTCCCTGAGTAGGGAACGAGACACTGCGTCCTCTAGGTTTCTTGCCATGCTGCAGACGAAGAAGTGAATGATGTGTGCTCCCGGCACCTATTTATACTATAGTCGCACCGGTAGTGACGTCATGGCTGTCGCCGGCCAACAAGTTGGTGTTTTTTCAATGTATGCTTCAGACACAGGTCACGACGAGGCGTTCCCCATAGCGACCCCTAGAGGACGCAGTGTCTCGTTCCCTACTCAGGGAACCATGGTTACATAAGTAACCTGAGACGATTTCTGCTGGTCTCAGCAAAATGACTGTGATGATTTATTTGTATTTCTAGAGGCACACAAAACAGAATGACTGTACTGTACACACACAATATTCAGAATAAACATACAATTAAAATGTAGCGTTGATCATATTGGTGCGTTGTAAATTTTATGGCTTTTAAATTTTAAATTGCAAGTATTGTTTGTAGCAGGGTGGACTCAGAAAGGTTTTAATTGGTGTTCTTTCTACAATAAACTTGCATCACAGTGTGTGAGACATAAAAGAAAGAAAATCTGGTAAAGTGAATACTGGGCTGCAAAAAAAGCAGATCTTTTGAAGCATATTCACAAATCCATATTCACAGTTTGACAGCTTGTTGAGGCTGTCCCCTAGTGGACATTTAAGCAAAACCGTAAGATGAAAAAAGTGTTCATTTAGAATGAATTTATATTCATTCAAATCGTTAGCCATCTGAGTCACATTAAGCATTCTCTGACTGGTGTCTGCAACAAAAACGAATATACCTTATGTAAACAAGACTCTGGGTGATAAACAAACTACACTTCCTTTGACTAACTCACAAATGTTTGATCATCGCTTATGTTTATTTCATAGAGCTCTCTTGAAGAGCCATTTCACCTCAAGAGTGAGGCAACAGAATTCATAAAAAGGTAACGGTAGACCTGACTGATTTGATAAAACTCTCCTGTCAGTGAACCAGACAGTGCGTCTGATTAATGATAGCGGAAACAACACATTCATGGCATTATCTTTAATCAAAGATGCACACCATGATGCTGAAACATTCTCACACTCTTCTAATCTTCCAAATGCACACAAAGAAATCCTTCTTATTTGTCTAAATACCACTCTAATAATTAGTTGTGTAAGGATGGCGCCTGACACTATGATTTGGATGAAAAAGAAAATGTGTGAATAATATATAAATAAAAAAACCCTACATGAATGGACGAGTTGCTTGTGTTTACTATTAGCAATAAAACCTTGATAACATTTATAGGCACATAATGATGCAGTGTCAATGCCTATGGCCTGGTTTCACTGTGCGAAGAGACAGAAATGAGCATTTAAGATGAACTCTCTCATTGAATTCTGCATGTACATCATAATCTCAAATACCAAATATGGCTCAAATAAAGGGACTAAAACAGTATTTACAACATTACTGTTAGTTAGTCGGAGTGCTTAAAGGAGCAATAACATAAAAAACTACCAAATGTATCCCAAATTTCCTGATTAGCCTACAATATATACAACAAAAAACAACAAAGGTCATAAAACGAAGCCCTGTGGGACTCCACAAAAAAAACAAAAAAATTTATGACTTATTTTAACAAAAACTGTCACAAATTGTTTTATCACCATTATTTGGCATAAGTGACCATGGTTTAATTAGAATGCCTATTGATTATGCAGTATATTATATCTTTAAGTCAGTGATCATACATTGCTGACACTGTAGGCTGTAACCTTTAGTAACATGTTAAGAACATTATAAACTATATATGAAGAGGTAAGCACCTCACCTTTTCATCCTGCTGGAAAGTAACTTTTTTGGGCTCAGAGCAGGTTCGGTTGAGTCGTTGAGTGATTTTGTCCCTCAGGAGAGAGGTGTAGCCCAGATGCTGGTAGATGGTGTTTGTGGTCATCTTGGCGATGTATTCTGCTGCCTTTGTCTCAATATAGAGAGTAATGAGGCCGTCTGTAACCAGATCGTGAACTGACTCGAAACGTTTCTCTCCCACAAAGTGCTTTCCATCATAAAAGAGTCGGTAGTTCAAAGTCTGGCCACCAAATCTGAGTGATAGACAAGCAGTATTGCATATTATATTACTATATATTATTTTACAGTATTATATAATATTATTACGGTAATATTATAATGTTACTGTACATTGTAAAACAAATTATAATAATAATGTAATATAATATAATATAATATTTTTTAAAGAAATGAATACTTTTATCCATCATGGATGTATTAAAATGATCAAAAGTGACAGTAAAAAATGTTTACATTGTTACAAAAGACTCCTATTTCAAATAATTGCTGTTCTTTTGAACATTCTATTCATTAAAGAATTCTAAAATTAAAAAATAATATCACTTTCCACCAAAATATTATGCAGCAAAATTGTTTTCAACTGTGATAACAATAAGAAACATTTCTTGAGCATCAAATCAACATATCAGAATGATTTCTGAAGGATCATGTGACATTGAAGACTGGAGTAATGGCTGCTGAAAATTCAGCTTTGACAAGAATAAATTACATTTTTAAATAAAAATAGATAATTATTTAAATAGTAAGTATTTTGCAATGTTACTGTTTTACTGTATTTTTGATCATATAAACGCAGTCTTGATACGTATAAAAAAACTTTGCGACCCCAAACTTTTGAACACAGTAATAATATAAAGAAATGCAAAAAATATAAAGTAAGTAATATAAAGAAATGGATAGATGGACGGATGGAGGGATGGATGAACATACAGAGAAAAGGACAGAAGAATAGATGGCGTGTACCTCAAAGCAAGTGTATATGTTCCTGTTTGTCTCTGACTCTCTCTGATGAGGTAAGCACCTTCTGTCCCAGCCAGCAGTTCATCGGCACGCTCTCTGGAAATCAGACCATGGAACCTGTACACAGACACCGTCATTTTCACACACACACACACACACACACACACACACACACAGAGAGACTTTCTCTCATGCTTACATATTCACATGCACACACACTCTTACTCTCTTCACACAACATAAATCACTCTTTTTTTCTCTCCCTCATATAATATTTAATATTTGCACTCTCACGCACATTACTACACAAAATCAATATGCACCACCCCTCATAACAGTTTTAAATAATAAATGATGCGAAGTCACTTAAAAATTCTCACACAATTACACTCAATTACAAGGAACGGGTAAAAAGTAACCAGCTGGATACCAGAAGTAATATGAGGAATAGTAGTATTGATGCTTTGCTTCCAAAACACCACTAATAAAGTTATTCACTTACTCTCTTCCATAGTATTTGGGTCTGCTTTCCATCTGCAAGTCAGAGAGAAGAAGGTAGGAGAGAGAAGAGACAGTTTTCAACACAAATCACTTCCAGTGTTTAGTAAAAGATATGCAGACTGAATCAATATGAGTCATGTTTGATAAACCTTGGGAGTGTTTACACACATTTTCCTGTACTTACCTCCTGAGGACATGTGATCCTCTTTGGTCTTGGTGCTTCCTGCTGTAGCTGGTACACTAATGAACGGAAAAAAGATTGTTTGATTTTTGAAAATGTTTACTCTCACTGCTGTCAGACTAAGCTACAACACATTATAAAAGTGGATTGGGTAATATTGGTAAAGCTATTGAAAAATGAACACTGCGCAAGAGGCAAACAGATAAATCAACACCACCAGTTGGTCAATATGGGAATGGCGTACATGAAGGGCCAGTCTTCAGCTCAAGGGGGGTTTAAGCTCAGATGTTTTGATTGTGCCTGTTTGTTTGAAAATGTAGTACAGAGAATGGAGGTTAATACCAGGAATTCCTCAGGTTATCCTCTCCTAAATAATCGGCTTGCACAGGCAAGGTCAATTTGATGTCAGTTCAAACAACATTCCTTTGATAGTGAGTTACTTCATTGGGGACTTTGAATTTGGGGCCATGGGCTACGTCACTAAAGTGGAAACACACCTGTCTCTATTGAGGCGTCTTTACAACAGCTGAGTTAAGGCTGCTCTGTGCCTGCTCAAAATTCAGTTTAAAGGTGCAATGCTGCATAAAAGCCAGACTAAATTATGCCTGCTCAGACCCACCTCAGACCCTAGTATCAAAGTAAAGTATACAGTTGTTATTGCTGTGTAAATGCATTTAAGCCACCTCTTAGCAGCATTAAACAGTCTGTGTAAAGACACCTAAATGCCCCTTCAGAAGCACTTCTGTGTCACCTTCACCTTTGCAGTGTATGTTTGGCACTATACAAATAAACAAAGGCACTAACGGGCCTCTCCATCCCTCTCTGCACCTACAGTGGGTTTCAAAAGTCTGAGACTACATTGAGCTGTTTTATTGAAACCTGAACCCCCCCCCAATCCAAAAGTTTTAGGATTTTGAACACTGTAAAGCAAAGTAAAAATATAGAGTAAAATTAATTAGAAATATTTGGATTTCTAATGTGACATTCCGTTTTCTATCCAAAAATCCATTTAAATGCAATTCATACATATGCCAATTGCATGCTCCCTCAAAACTTGCGACTGCACCACCCCTCATAACAGTTTTAAATAATAAATGATGCGAAGTCACTTAAAAATTCTCACACAATTACACTCAATTACAAGGAACGGGTAAAAAGTAACCAGCTGGATACCAGAAGTAATATGAGGAATAGTAGTATTGATGCTTTGCTTCCAAAACACCACTAATAAAGTTATTCACTTACTCTCTTCCATAGTATTTGGGTCTGCTTTCCATCTGCAAGTCAGAGAGAAGAAGGTAGGAGAGAGAAGAGACAGTTTTCAACACAAATCACTTCCAGTGTTTAGTAAAAGATATGCAGACTGAATCAATATGAGTCATGTTTGATAAACCTTGGGAGTGTTTACACACATTTTCCTGTACTTACCTCCTGAGGACATGTGATCCTCTTTGGTCTTGGTGCTTCCTGCTGTAGCTGGTACACTAATGAACGGAAAAAAGATTGTTTGATTTTTGAAAATGTTTACTCTCACTGCTGTCAGACTAAGCTACAACACATTATAAAAGTGGATTGGGTAATATTGGTAAAGCTATTGAAAAATGAACACTGCGCAAGAGGCAAACAGATAAATCAACACCACCAGTTGGTCAATATGGGAATGGCGTACATGAAGGGCCAGTCTTCAGCTCAAGGGGGGTTTAAGCTCAGATGTTTTGATTGTGCCTGTTTGTTTGAAAATGTAGTACAGAGAATGGAGGTTAATACCAGGAATTCCTCAGGTTATCCTCTCCTAAATAATCGGCTTGCACAGGCAAGGTCAATTTGATGTCAGTTCAAACAACATTCCTTTGATAGTGAGTTACTTCATTGGGGACTTTGAATTTGGGGCCATGGGCTACGTCACTAAAGTGGAAACACACCTGTCTCTATTGAGGCGTCTTTACAACAGCTGAGTTAAGGCTGCTCTGTGCCTGCTCAAAATTCAGTTTAAAGGTGCAATGCTGCATAAAAGCCAGACTAAATTATGCCTGCTCAGACCCACCTCAGACCCTAGTATCAAAGTAAAGTATACAGTTGTTATTGCTGTGTAAATGCATTTAAGCCACCTCTTAGCAGCATTAAACAGTCTGTGTAAAGACACCTAAATGCCCCTTCAGAAGCACTTCTGTGTCACCTTCACCTTTGCAGTGTATGTTTGGCACTATACAAATAAACAAAGGCACTAACGGGCCTCTCCATCCCTCTCTGCACCTACAGTGGGTTTCAAAAGTCTGAGACTACATTGAGCTGTTTTATTGAAACCTGAACCCCCCCCCAATCCAAAAGTTTTAGGATTTTGAACACTGTAAAGCAAAGTAAAAATATAGAGTAAAATTAATTAGAAATATTTGGATTTCTAATGTGACATTCCGTTTTCTATCCAAAAATCCATTTAAATGCAATTCATACATATGCCAATTGCATGCTCCCTCAAAACTTGCGACATCTGTGGCATTGTGCTGTGTGATAAAACTGCACATTTTAGAGTGGCCTTTTATTGTGGCCAGCCTAAGGCACAATAATCATGCTGTCTAATCAGCATCTTGATATGCCACACCTGTGAGGTGGATGGATTATCTCGGCAAAGGAGAAGTGCTCACTAACACAGATTTAGACAGATTTGTGAACAATATTTGAGAGAAATAGGCCTTTTGTGTACATAGAAAAAGTCTTAGATCTTTGAGTTCAGCTCATGAAAAATGGGGGCAAAAACAAAAGTGTTGCATTTATAATTTTGTTCAGTGTATATTAATTAATCATTTATGATACTTGTAAAAATAATACTATTATTTTTTTAATTTACTATATAATTTTTACATTGAAAAATACAAATATATTTTAAAATTGATGATTAAGTTCTTGAAAATCTTGAATTTATGCTAAAGGGATAGTTCACCCAAAAATGAAAATTTCCCCATGATTTACTAACATTTTCTCACCCTCAAGCCATCTTAGGTGTATATGACTTTCTTCTTTCAGACAAATACAATCAGAATTATATTTAAAAATGTCCTGGCTCTTCCAAGCTTTATAATGGCAGTGAATGGTGGTCAAGATTTTGAACTATCCCTTTAATTTTTCAATTAAACATTTTACCCAAATTGTATTGCTGATAATAACATTTGTATTTACAAAATGTATTAAAGTAGAAAAAATATATTACAGAAGCATATTGACTAGAGGACTCTTGGACTTTGCAGTATATTATCAATCTCAACATCTCAAGTTTTATAATGGAATTTAGATCATTGTGAAGAGAGCAGCACTAGTGAAATGATCAATGCCGCTTATGGACGTGACCTTCTCTTGATGACTTCATTAAAAGCTGCTCATCATGGAGAGCAGTAATTGGCGGCCTCAGTCCGAGCACAGACAGAGTCTGGCCTCACTACTCAGATTTTTCCTCACAGGGAGCAGGAAGGCATCTGACAGCGATGCCAAGTTTTTGTCAAAGAAGCTCAGAACAAGCAGTGAGTTCTGGACAACGTCCACTAGAATGACAAGGACGGGGCCTGCTCTAAAAATACTGCACAGTGGGAGTGAATGCGAGGGAAAATGAGTTGAATCGTGGGATGGGCTACAAAAATCTGACATAACGATTACTGGCCAGGGAGACCTTTGGCAAAAAGTGCACTAGAATCACTCCTGTCCACTTTCACTGTGCCAGACCACATTCCCATGATGCAATGTTCTTGTGTTTGAAGCCCAGATTATTGTATTTCTTCAATTGAGTGTGTTATTCTGCCAGTATAGTGTGAAGTCATTCAAATCATGTCAATGACTACATGTATAATGTTGAAAAAATACATTAAAACACTTACAGTAGGATTTCCATATCGGTGGCTGATAATCTTCAGGATCTACAAAAAAAGGAAAAGATAATATGTCAGGATGTCTTCTGTTCTGTGCTACAAACATGTTTTAAAATAATCATCTCTTGTCAGCGTGTTCTCACTTAACACCGTCTATGATATTTACTGACAGGTTAGAGAGTGGCTGTGATCCAAGGTTATTATATTGTTTGGTTACACTTTACTTGAAGGGGTGTGCATAAGACTGACATGACACCTTCATAATCATGACATGACACCTACATAATCATGACATGACACGTCATGAATATGAAGGTTTTTTATGCATGTTTATGACAACTGTCATTAAGTGTCATTCGCTCAGTTATGTCATTTTTAATGCAAA